TTAGCTGTGGTAGCTGACTTAGGATCGAATTATAATCAAATGTCCCATAGCATTATATCTAATGGCAATCATAACGAAGAACAATATTTGTAAGTTAATATTTGTAATAGAATTGGGACTTGTTCTAAGTCTCGACTAGGCGCCAGCCCCGGATCTACGGTATTTACGAACTGGAGCAGAAACTTAGGAATAGCGCCCCTCCCTCCAGCGTTTGAGAAAAATATCCTAAAAAAAACCAAAAATACTTGCCTCAGTTTGGCCATCCGCTTTGATACCAAAAAATGATAAAAGTAAGAAAAACAATATTATCTTTGATTAGCGCGAAAGTGAGATTATATATGTTGGCACATGTCTTTCATATAATTACGTTATAAGCCAGAATATGCTTGAATTAAATTAGAGTTACATTAGAGTCAAAACAGGACCGGTTGTGGTATACCTACTATATTTCTTTCTGTTTTTACTACCAGGCATCTTCATTAGTTCCATTACATATATCCTAAAGATAGCTATAAGATGTTCTTTTGGATCTACGTCGTGCACAAAGATTTTCTTAAACCAGGGTGAAGGTCACTAACCTAAAATAGCACATACTTAAACTTGTCAGAATAATAAAAAAAATGCATTCATCTGTTTTACAAAACTACTTACAGGAAGTGTCCATTGCTTAGCGCTAGTAATACTTTAAAACAATCATAACCATAAAATAATTCTGCTTTTGTTAACACGCGCTTTTGTATTAGCGTTGTAGAAGTGTTTTTTTGTTAAATATGTTGTCTTATGTTTAAATACACTATGTTGAGTTTTTTACCTGCAATTCCAGCATTCGGTGACTAAGAGGGTCTGAACCCTCGTTGAAACAACTGCGGCACAAACGTTTGGTGTAAAGACATGCCGCAACATACGATTTGGTTTAAAAGTTCATTGAGTAGTCAAAGCTAACGACAAATAAATGGACTCTAATCCAACTATGGGTCTACCAATAAGAACGTCCTGGTTTAAAAAATGAATAAAACACACAATTTTTTTATGAAAAATGCATCCGATTGATTAATTTGATTGATAATTTTATACAATTTATGTTTTAAATAATATATCGTCCAAATGACCGCCGCGGCTCTTTTTGCAGACGGTCACCCGCTCACGCCAATTTTCGATGACGCGGTGCACCATTTCGGCCGGTATGTCGGTTATGGCTCGTCGAATGTTGGTTTTTAGGTCACGAATTGTAGCTGGATTATTGCTGTACACTTTAGATTTAACGTAACCCCAAAGAAAATAGTCTAAAGGTGTTAACACGATCTTGGTGGCCAACTGATCGGTCCATTTCTCGAAATTAACGACTCACCAAACTTTCCACGCAATAATCCCATGTTTACTCGAGTAATGTTAGGTGGTGCACCGTCTTGTTGAAAATAAAGGTCGTCTGTATCAATATCATCAAATTCTGGAAAGAAATATTCGGTTAACATCGAGTTATATCGCTCGCCATTCACAGTAACAGGGTTTCCTTCGTCACTTTCAAAGAAGTACGGACCAATGATTCCACCGTACCATAAACCGCACCAAACTGTTCTTTTTTGCGGATGTAATGGTGATTCATTAACCACACGTGGATTTGACTCACTCTAATAGCGACAATATTGTTTATTAACAAATCCATTGAGCCAGAAATGGGCCTCATCTGAGAAGATAATTTTACGATGAAAATCGTCATCGGCTTCCATCATTTCCAGTGCATAATCGGCAAATTCACGACGGATAGAATGGTCGGATGGCTTCAATTCTTGTGCCAAAACAATTTTGTATGGGTGTAGGCCCAAATCCAACCGCAAAATACGCCAAGTGGTCATTGGAGAGAGCCCAACTCTTGTGAACGGCGTTGAACTGATCGATTTGAATTCGCATCAACACTGGCCTGAACGCCTGCGATATTCTCTTCACTACGGGCATTTCTTTGTCTCACAGGCACAGCAGTATCGTGGAGAGTAAATTCACTTTCAAATTTTGTTATTATGCGATTTATAGCGGGCACAGAAGGAGCACTTTGACGACCGTTTTTTGCGCGAATGTGTTTTTTTTAAGTGAAACGTGACATGATAAAATGGCATACCTTACTGAACACAAATGTCAAGAGACGTCAAAGATCCATCATCAAACATGGCCGCTATGAGCTGTCAAAACCAGGTCATCGCTATTGATAGACCCAGTATATAGTGACAGATGTGTCTACTAAAATATTGCAAACTATATTAATGTGCATAACAACAATGGCGAAAAAAAAAACATTTATTTAGCTTTTGCCCGTGGCTCCGCCTGCGTGTATGTCGGTTATCGTGTTACACGCTTATGTACGTTTCAAAACATGACAGCTTAACAAACAAACTCACTTTCACATTTATGATATAAGTATAGAAGTACGGATTAACATATATGGACGAACACTGTCGACTCAATTACGTCTGCTCGAAGCCCTAAATAAAATAAAATTTCGATGTTATTGGCTTGTCTGAAACACGTAGAATTAGAAGAATCCTAGCAGCGCCCCGCGGTGTTACCCGCAGTTGTTGTTGAAGCTTGGTCATCCCACGGCAACACTACATTTCTGCACCATATGTGCTATTCCAGACTATAATCTATCTCTGTTCCAAATTTCATCCATGTGGAACTGTCGTCGCGTCGCTGTAATAAAGCATTGGATTTGGCTATTACTACCACTACGTGGATAAATAGTGAAGAATCCGAGTTCTATCTAAGTACTGTAGACAATATATCAAAATCATTCTTGAGTTCTCTTTTAAAACTAATAGGGTCAGCGCACACAGCCGGAGTGGCGGCGAAGAGCAGTTTCTCCTGGAAGAACCGAGTGTCAATACTCAATTGTTTATTGCTTCCCTTATGTAAATTGTACAGTTGGGAAGAATTTAAGCTAGGTATTAATTATGGACCCTATCAGGCACAGCATAGTGAAGAGAGAGAGAGAGGCCAAGTATAAATTTATGTAGGTATGTACATTATCAATATTTTTTATTTAAAAATTTAGTAATTATTTACTAGACTAGGTTTACTATATATTGAATTTGACTGTATTGTTATATCTATATTATAAACGTAATTATTACATTATTTATTTATTGATTGCACTGGATTTATACTGTATGTGACTATATTATTATGTATTTGTATATGTGCAATAGATACACGTAGGTATTAGTATTTTATCAGAAAATATTCTTAAACCCCTTTAAGGACATTTTCTGATTGATGAAGTATCGTGCATACTACATTTCACGGGGGTGAACTTTGAGAAATGTAGTATGTACGATACTTTGATTCTTGAGGAAAGACCTAGGCTACTTTGCACCGCGATAGCCGTAATTTACGCGGTCGGAGCAAAATGTAGTGTAGAATATAACCAAAAAAAACAGGGCGGAATTATCGCAGTCTGCGATCTCTTCCAGGCAACCTTCAGTAATATGTAACTTTTAGTGCGCATTTACAATTGCCGTATATTAACTAATATTACATTTCATAATACCGATTGCAGGTTGTAGGTTAATTTTAGTTTACGAATTGCAATCGTATATCAACGTGAAAAAGTCCATTTTCAATTGTTGTGACATGATATGATCCACATGACTAATCTGGATCATGTGAGTCATGGTGGATTTGTGCTGACCCATACTGTTGTATTTATAACTGTGTCATATTTCAACTTATATTAATAAAATATTATATCTATTAAATAGCATTTTTTTTTAATTTGTAACTGAAAATATTTTTAAACGTTAAGCACCTACTGCTTCAACGGGGTACTTATCGGGTGTATACCACTTACTAAATGAATTCTAATTAGTACGTTAATTTAAAAAATGTTATTTTAAGAAATACACATATTTCAACTCCAATTTCCCATCTGGATGAAGTCAGCTTAGGTATTAGCTCTGACTTCATCTAGCGTAAATTAAATGATCATCTAAATGCGTGAACCTATACATCTCAAAAAATAAAAAGTAAAAATTATTATTAATAATATATTATTCAATTTTCATTTTACCTACCTATGTGCACGTCTCTCTACGTCTTAGGGAATTTCTCTCCTCGCTACCTCGGCCATTAAATATTATTTCTTTACCTATGAAGTTGCCGTTTTGTATGAATCACCTACCGAGTAGAACTTTTTCCAAAATTTAGACAACTTTTTAGTGGGTAAAAAATTCAATTCCCGAGAGGCAGTACAAAATGCCTTTGAAGAGTTTGTTGCCTCCCGTCCAGCTGATTTTTACAAGAAGGGCATCAATAAACTGTCAATGCGTTGGCAAAGATGCGTCGATTGCATGGGTAATTACTTCGAATAATAGAAATAAAAAAGTTTGAAAAAATAAGTACTTTCACCTATTGCATACACAACGGCAATTTCATAGGTAAAGACCTATTAGAAATGTAATCTACATTCTTTTAAATTCAGAACATCAGCAAGTGTTTATTGATGATTTCAATCATCTACATTTATTGAAATCATCCATAAACACTAGCTCACCCCTTCACAGTTAACTCCCTGAATATACATTTACCTAAGAAATTTAATCAACAACATGACGAGTTTAATCAACAATTTCACGTATTAACAAGACGACCATCCGTACAATGAGTTGGTGTGTTTAGCCTCCTCTTATATTCACAAAAAAGGAGACAATAAAATAGTCATTGTTTTTCTGCGGTTTTATGACTTTTGGTAAATCCCGAACTTACTAGGAAGTTGCAAAAAAAAGGATGCGTTTTTTGTTTGAGCCAGTCCTATTGGCGAAAACTACAATTGTTCAGAGCGGAGAGCGAGGGAAGTAACAATTACTTTAAGGGTGCGCTTTATTAAAACTTTTACCTGTGCGAAATGCAGCGGGCATTTTGATAATACAGTCCAGTCGAACGCGAGCCTTGGAAAGGTTCAGTATTCAGTGCAAAAGTGTTCAGTTAAGTTGGTGTTAAGTATTAAAGATAAGATGTCAAAAGATAAATCAAGGAGTGAAGCGAAGGATGAAATGACTGCGCAGCCATGTAAGTAATATCGATACATGTTGTACCTAAGTTAGAATCTAACGACCGTAACCTTAACTTGGTTTGAAACTTTATTATTATTCGCTAAGAACCCATTGCAAAAGGTATAAAATGAAGTCGCTTTTCGTTCAAACAACTAACTATCTACATACATATCTAGCAAACTACGCAATGGATTTTCATGCGGTTTTCACCAAAAGAGAGAGTGAGTCAAGAGGAAGGTTCATATAATTATAATATAAGCATGTTATATTGCTAAACCTTAAGAGATACATCAAAAAAATGGACCCACTACGGAATTGTATATCTTAAAAAGATTCACATAAAAGTCCGCTATAGCCTATCTCCTAAGGATAGCGAACAGTTATCGTTTTTATCTTATAATATAAATTATAATAAAAAAGTTGTCTGAGGAATAATATATCTTTCTAACAGTAAACAAAATTGGATCAGTAGTACCTGAGATTACCCCGAACATACAAACTCACATCTTTACCTCTTTTTAGTATTAGTGTAGACATATTACAAAAAAGTATTGGGTTGTTTACGAAGCTCTTTAAAACAATACTATTTTATTCCTTATCCAATTAAGTTAAGAACGTTGTGCATTTAATGTTGATTAAAATTGCCCTTTGCAGCAAATCATTAAAATTAATATCTTGGAAGTTATCACAGACTTAAAATGTACGACCGCAGATATAAAGTCCTTGATCTTAATTTTAACTTTATGAAGTCACGAAAATCTCTTGACAGTCAGACAAATGATCAGCAATGAGATTCTCTAAGTATTTCTTATATACCACTATAAATATTTTATATCGCACTTGAAGTTTGTCAAATTCAACTCTGAACGGACATAAAAAAGGAGTAGGTTCAAAACTTCGTAATTTATAAACTCCTCTTCTTATTTAAAAGGATCTTCTCATTTCGCCTCATTCAAATTTTATGTTAACGTTCCGCCCCTAAGGGTGCAAAATACAGTTTATTACAATCCATTACGATGTAGGCGCAAATGTATCAAACATGCTTAATGTACGCAAGAAACAATATTTCGCATTTAAAACTAAAGACGTTCGTAACTCTGTGACTGACGTTTGAATATTTAATGTAAAACATTACCTTAAGTAAAATAGCATTATCAATTTTTTGCATTTTAAAAATTTATACAGAATGCAAGTATGTACCTACCTATTATAGTAAATGTGTTTTGCTCTGTACATAGCTGCTGATGTGTTGTCAACATTGGTTGAGGTTCGGAGTCAGTACTGGCAACCTCAAGGGATTGCATTTGTGTTTACGGATTATGTTGGAAACAGGTTTGCCCATCGAAATGAGGATGTTTTTGATTTTTTTTTTACTTATTGTGATGGTGTCAACACTCAGGAGTCGAAATTGTTATTTAGAAACAATAAACTGCAAAGTTTTTTGTAACGATTGTAGTCATGAAACCTATCAAATATTCTTCTCTATTATGTAGGTTCGAGTGGTCTGGGACAACAGGACGAAGATGGAGAGGACTTCTCGTACAGCTCTTCCGACTGGGTACCAAGCGATGAGGAAACAGAGTCTTGCGATTCCGATGCAGAGGTAATAACGAACAATTAAATTTTAAAAAGGTACCTTAATATTTAATTACTTTTTGAAAACTTCTTAATTTAAAAGGAAGCATATTGCTATCGTCACTGGTACGTTATATATTTCGCCGTGTAATCCCTGTTGATGAAATATAAATCCTTTAAAAAAAAAATTAAAACGATTTCAAACAATACTGACAAAGCACTAAAAATTAAAAAATAATTACAAATCTAAGTAAAAAACTAAAATAAGTACCCTCGATATAACAGGTAACATTATAATAGCCTTAGTAGGGACTATGGCTATTACTCGTATAATATAATTTAATTATTTAGTCTGTTATTGTTTTTACGGTTTGTAAATCGGTTTATGTATTAGATTATTATTAAACGATGCGCGCTAACCGTATCAGATTTTGTAGGAAAAACTATATTATTATGTAGTTTGTAATTGCAGGTAAATTGAAAAATATTTACTGTTGTATCGCGTCGACTCGGTTCAGAACCAGTTGGTATATAAATCAGTTTTGTTCGGACGATAATGCAGGAACCACGAGCGCGATGGTACGACGCCAAGTGCAGCGCGACCTTATGACACGGCTCAACCGGTTAAAACCACGGGCAAACCAATTCAACTCGATTCATGCCCAAACCAGTTTACATCGGTTTGAAAAGTCAAGTCGTCACACCACTAGATACGGCCCTATAATATTTTATTTAAATTAATAGATAACAGATTTAGACAAGAATTGTCACATTGAAATTGTGTATAAAGAAAATTATAAACTGTAATTAGGTATTAAAATAGTTTATCGTAGGCGTAGTAATTAAGATCACTGTTTATAGAAAAGTGAGTGTTTAGTTTAGTTGATTTTTGTACTGGAATTGTAACCTAAATTTGATTTATAGGTTTGGGTAGGAAATCATATGTAAAAACCAATTTTTTTTTTGCTTTTTAGTTGCTGAGTTGGTTTCTTTTCATTTAAAAATAATTTATGAGTCACTTGACTTACAACAATTAGACACAGATTTTCATCCTTATACTAATCGTAAGAATACGCCCTCTTGCTAAAGTTTATATATTACGGATCAATTTTAGTTTCTACCAATCTAAAAACTGAGCATCAAATCATTAATCTTTATAGTGAAATAAGTAATTACACTTCCATACCTAAATGTGGCAGGTACTTATAGTACAATAATATATAATTAACAGTAAGGATACTTTTAACAAAACTTAAACCAAATGAATACTTTTACAGACGAAGGCGAAAAAAAAGCACTTGGAACATTGTAAACGGCAGTATCCCAGACCGGGTATCAGTCCTTCGAATATAGACGTCACTGAATCAAGAAATGATTTAAACATAAACCCAGAGATAGTAAAGAGAACACAGGCGGTCGTAGATAAAATCAAGCAGACTTTGGAAATGCTTGCAGCTTTAAAAGAAGACCGCGGTTTTCGCACAATTTCGTTGCAGTCTGCAGAAAACGGAGACTCTAAACAAATCGCACCTAATTTGACGGCTTATACGGCGGATAATGAATTACAAGGTTCATCCAGCCAGCCGAATGGGTCATTGGATGAGTCCAAGAGGAAGAAGAGAGACAATTTCGTTTTAAAAGAACCGTATAATAGAAAAGGATTTATAATTAAGAAGAATACGGTTGGTGGTGAGAACGTGAAAGAAGAATGGGTAATCATTGTTTTATTATATTTTATTTAAACTTAGGTAATGCACATGTTGCACAAAGGCAAACTTAATGCCATGAGGCATTCTCTCCCTGTCGACCTTCAGGTGATATGATGCGGTAGATGCAAAGATAACATATCAAAGGAGAATGCCCATTTCAGTATAAAAATCAGTTTCACACTTTTTTTGCTGTGCAAATCTGCATAAGCTACATATTTAATTTCAAACCCTAAGTTTTATACAAGAGATTCAGGGATGAAAAGTTACATTAAAATACATTTTTTTTACCATTTGAAATAATGACGCGAACGTCTAAAAGTGACACCATGGATGGGTATTCCCCTTTGTCGTATTGCATAGTTTGGTAAAAAAGAGATAAACCTACATTAGATATAACTAAAATACATAAATTCATTACTACATATATTATTATAGTTACATATGAGTCTAGAAGTATACACAATACATACACACCATTTAAACATACACATACATGAATTTAATATTATATATAAAATAATATAAATACACAGTCGGGTACAAGCGTTGTGACTGTTCTGCCAATTTTACTGGTTTTGTTTCTATACTTACACTAACACTACTAGAGTATTAATTGAATTTAAGAGCAAAAAAAGTGATATCAAAGACGGGGAAAATCATGGCAATTAAAATCTTTGTTTTCTTTTTCTATTTGTGTACGTTAGATTCTAAATAAAATTTATGTAAATACTATTTAAATAACAATTAATACATTTAGAGAGAAAAAAAATCTTAGTTATACCGAGATCTTGAAAAGTGTGATATAATAATAATAATATTCTACTACAACGCCATCTAGCCCCAAACTAAGCAGAGCTATATTTGTTTACTGTCAGGTTCGGGTTTTATGTTGTATTGTTAATGCTTTCTTTCATTGCTAACTTGGAAATACTTTCTAATTCCAAATTGAAAAAATAGAAATGCAATGCTCACTTAATGTTTTTTAATTTCAATTACATTTTAGGTTCCAATTGGAAGCGGCATGACGCTGATACCCCGAGAAAAATACAAGAGAATAAACTGGAAGTCCTATACTATTGCAACACGATCATTGCTGGTGGCTGTATTTCCCAGAAGGTAAAGTTAACTTATCTCATTCTTTAAATATTTGAATTTAATACTAAATGGGGTGAAGGATTGGATGAGTTTGAAATTAATATTAATTTATACCATCATTATAATAGGGCGGGACTAGCTTTTTCGTATTTTAGATGAATAAATTTGGAGAAAAAAAACATTTATTGGAACAAAGTTCTTTATCACGGTCTGAGATTGCAAAAGTGTATAGATAACAACGGTGCATACTTTGATTAATTAAATAAATTTTACAAAAACAAAATTGACTTTATATTCCACCCGTACAAAACGCCGATTTCATATGTAAGGACCTAATATTACGATACCATGTTTCATTCTAGTTGCGAATACTTGTGAATAGCTTCGTTATTACATAATTTTTAATTTACTTTAAGTTCTTTATGCTGCTGGTAGTCCGATTAAATTTAAACAATCAAAAATAACATAATATTGTGAATTTCTAGGGTTCTAGCGACGCACTCGCTGACCGGTAAACCGTCACCTGCGTTTCAAGACAAACCAGCTAAGATGACTTTAGATCAAAGAAAAACTTCCGATGTGATCGCAGAAGTTGTGGACAGATTCAAAGTACGCGAAAATTTAGTTAGGTAAGTACAATAATGAAAAATCTGCAGAGCACATATACCTAGTCTTGCTATTAATATTGTTGCAAGGAAAAATCTTATTGTTTCTATTGCATTAAAACATTTATTACTGTAAGGTGAGTTAGTTTATACATTAATATGATGGCATTAAAAATGAGCTCATTCATAGTGATCTCTATTGGCTTTAATACACTCCTTCAAACGTTGAAGCCAGTTATTAATAGAAACGAGATCTCTCCACGAGAAAAGTCTTCACTGCCAAACTTATGGATTGTTTTAGGGACTCCAAATTATCATAGCGGTTAGAGGATGTCATTCAAAACTAATCTTAAAACTGATCTCAGCAAAATCGGGACTAGGTGACGGCCAGTCTTCAGCTCTGATAAAGTCAAAAATATTCGTTTCCAATAAAAGGAGCATTTTTGGTTTTCGGACATGGTGTTGTTAAAAAGATTTGCCTCCCTCTCGAAAATCGTATCTTGATACACTTGTACCAATGTTTTGATATGTTTTTCACAAAAATATGGATCATTCGGACAGGATTTCTTGCAATTTAATTTTTTCGTTTCCTGCTTTGGTCGCCTTTTTCGTACGACTTCTATAATTGAAGCTCCGAATATATTTCCTACGAGCTACACAAGCTATGAACATGAAGGGCGCGAGTTTTTCGAGACAAAAGAGTATTTTCACGTCAAGTTTCGAACGAATTTGACTTCAGCAACTCTCATTTTCTTCATTTTTTTTTCTCACACTACAACCTCTTATTTCTTGTTTGTCCCTGTTTTTTTTCAATAAACTGGTTTTTCCCACCTGTTTGTTTTTTTTCCAAAACTTGCCACGAGTCGATTTTTTATAGGCCTTTTATTTTAATTTAATACTTTTACCCGAATTATCCCGTTAAAAAACCAGCCAGTTAATTTTTTTAAATATGAAGTTATTTTGCGCCGCACTGCCTGTACTATGACAGATTTCATCCTTTACTTTACTAGACTAATACTAAACCAAACACAAATATTACATTTTCATAATTATTATTTACAGGAGCGTCATAACAACGAAATGTGCAGACGAATGTAAAATGTGGAAAACTCGTTGTAAGAAGATCGCTACAAAAACCAATGAAGCTACGGACACCGTACAGTGACTCTTTTTGTTCCAATTTTTTGTGATGCATCGCCAATCTACTTGGCAACGCTGCAGCAGGGACTCCAGAACAGACCAGATCTCGCCTTCTCATAGTCCACGAATGCTAGACACAGGGGCTGATAATATTCTTCGGTCTTCGGTATAATCTGCCGCATTGTGTGGATGTGGTCTATGGTGCCATATCCGCTCCGAAACCCAGCTTGCTCCAGTGTTTGGAATTCGTCGAGTCTTCGCGCAAGATGGTTCGTGATGACTCTCGAAAACAGCTTGTAGACTTGGCTTAGAAGGGATGTGGATCGAGAGTTCTTCAACATGGTCTTATCACCCTCTTTGAAGAACAAGACGACAACATTCCCACTCTATGCTTCCAGAGTTCTCCCTTCAAGCAGGACAGCGTTGAAGAGCTTTTGGAGTTCTCTTAGTACGGGTTTACGGCCTTTAGCAGCTCTGTTGTAACGCCATCCTCTCCAGGGGCTTATCCATTTCTCAGCTGTCCAAGAGCCATTTCGATTTCGTCAATGCTAACTTCTGGCAGTTCTTCGGTGTAGTGACGTGTTAATGTGGCTTTGGAGTCCTCATTTTCGGGATCAGGTCAAGATGCATAGTTTTTTTTTCAATTAGTGTTTATGCCATCGAATTTATGACAGGGCTACTATGTATAAAATAAGGCAAAACTAACACTGAAGTACATATTCCGGATAGTAAGGGTATCAGTCCTTCGAACATAGCCGTCACTGAATCAAGAAATCATCTAAACATAAACCCAGAGATAGTAAAGAGAACACAGGCGGTCGTAGATAAAATCAAGCAGACTTTGGAAATGCTGGCAACTTTAAAAGAAGACCGCGGTTTTCGCACCATTTCGTTGCAGTCTGCAGTAAACGGGGACTCTACAGAACAGACTGAACCAATCGCACCTAATGTGACGGCGTATACGGCGGATACTGAATTACAAGGTTCATCCAGCCAGCCGAATCGGTCATTGGATGAGTCCAAGAGGAAAAAGAGAGACTATATGGTTTTAAAAAAACCGTATAATAAAAAGAATACGGTTGGTGGTGAGAACGTGAATGAAGAATAGGTAACAATTGTTTTATTATATTTTATTTAAACTTAGGTCGTGCATATGTTGCACAAAAGCAAACTTAATACAGTGAGGCATTCTCACCCTGTCGACCTTCAGGTGATATGATGCGGTAGGTGCAAAGATAACATATCAAAGGAGAATGCCCATTACAGTATAAAAATGAGTTTCACACTACATTATTAAGCTTGCATTGAGTATTATCTAAAATATTAACGTATATTGTAATAGAAATTGTGGTTATTGAGAAATTAAATGTGCTAAACTGCAAATATTAGAAACGAGAAAATTTTGTGATACAGAACATAGTTTTTTTTTTAACTTAATAAAGTACGACTACTTACACGAAATAATAAGATTACTTAACTGCAATATATTTAAATGTGTATAAAAAATGTATTTTAATGTGACTTTTCAACCCTGAATCTTATCTATAAAAGAAGAGATTCAGGGTTGAAAAGTCACATTAAAATACATTTTTGTAACATTTGAAATAATGACGCGAACGCAAAAAGTTTAAGTAAACAAGTCGTGCTGTAACAACAACCAGTCATCTCTCGAATTTTTCTTACTGCGTATGCTGTTGTATAAGTCTACTCGATGATTTATCTTTTTAAGTAATTAGGTGCCGATTACCCCCCCCCCCCCCCCTCCCATAAAACCCTCACGCTGTTTTATAATTAAATATACGAGTAAGTCAACTTTGAAAAAAATTCTTGAATTTGTAGTTAAAAAACTAAGAAACTTTTACCCGACCTTGTATAACGATGCCATGTTTAATTCTAGTTGCGAATACTTGTTAACAGCTTCGTTATTACATAATTTTTAATTTACTTTAAGTTTTTTTATGCTGTTGGTAGTCAGATTAAATTTAAACAATCAAAAATAACAAAATATGGTGAATTTCTAGGGTGCTAGCGACGCACTCGCTGACCGGTAAACCATCACCTGCGTTTCAAGACAAACCAGCTAAGATGAGTTTATGTCAAAGGAAAACTTCCGATGTGATCGCAGAAGTTGTGGACAGATTTAAAGTACGCGAAAATTTAGTTAGGTAAGTACAATAATGAAAAATCAGCAGAGCAGATATACCTAGTCTTGTTATAAATATTGCTGCAAGGAAAAATCTTATTGTTTCTATTGCATGAAACATTTATTACTGTAATGTGAGTTAGTTTATACATTAATATGATGGCATTGAAAGTGAGTTCATTAAAAATGATCTCTATTGGCTTAAATACAGTCCTTCAAACGTTGAGGCCAGTTATTAATAGAAACATGCCCTCTCCCCACGAGAAAAGTCTTCACTGCCAAACTTATGGATTGTTTTATTGATTGACAAATTATCATAGCGTGATGTCATTCAAAACTGATCTCAGCGAGATCGGGACTAGGTGACGGCCAGTCTTCAGCTCTGATAAAGTCAAAAATATTCGTTTCCAGTAAAAGGAGCCTTTTTGGTTTTCGGACATGGTGTTGTTAAAAAGATTTGCCCCTCTCTCGAAAATCGTATCTTGATACACTTGTACCAATGTTTTGATATGTTTTTCACAAAAATATGGATCATTCGGACAGGATTTCTTGGAATTTTATTTTTTCGTTTCCTGCTTTGGTCGCCTTTTTCGTACCACTACTATTCGGATTACCAGACTTTGTTTTTCTTATTTGGATGAAAGAGAGGGCAGAGAAGCAAACGAGTCACCTGATGGAAAGTGACTATCGCCGCCCATAAACGCCTGCACTTTAGGAGTCACAAACGCGTTGCTGGCATTTTAGGAAGGAGCACGCTCTTATCTTGAAGGTCGTATCGGTCCGTAAATACCGCAGACGATAACTTGTTCCTCCGATTGGTTGTACAAGGCAAAAAGTGTCTTGAAAAGCGCACAGTAGTGGAGCAGAATGAGCATTGCTGAAGTCGTAAGCTATATTTGAAGCCCCGAATATATTTCCTACGAGCTACACAAGCTATGAACATGAAGGGCGCGATTTTCTCGAGACAAAAGAGTGTTTTCACGTCAAGTTTCGAACGAATTTGACTTCAGCAACTCTCATTTTGTTCATTTTTTTCTCACACTACAACCTGCTATTTCTTGTTTGTCAGGGACAAACAAGAAATAGGAGGTTGTAGTAGAGGTTTTTACAATAAACTGTTTTTTCCCACCTGTTTGGTTTTTTTTTTTCAAAAACTTGCCACGAGGCGATTTTTTTATAGGCCTTTCTTTTTAATCTAATACTTTTACCCGAATTATCCCGTTAAAATACCAGCCATTATTTTTTTAATATAAAGTTATTTCGCTTCGCACTGCCTGTATTATGACAGATTTCATCCTTTTCACTAATACTAAACCAAACCAAAATATTACATTTTCATAATTATTATTTTACAGGAGCGTCATAGCAACGAAATGTGCAGACGAATGTAAAATGTGGCAAACTCGTTGTAAGAAGATCGCTACAAAAATCAAAGAAGCTACTGACACCGTGCAGCGACTCTATTTGTTCTCAGTGTCTATCGAGTGCCTACATAAAAGTTGAATCTCCACTTAGAATGCCAAAAAAAATCTATATGCAATACGAGAAAGGAGACGGATTCTGTACTTGGACGGACATAGTGGCGGCATCGTAGAGTCGTTTCATTACTTGTTGTGTTGTTGTGTTCATGCCAATCTACTTGGCACCGCTGCAGGGACTCCAGAACAGACCAGATCTCGATCGAGTCAAAGGCTTTCTCATAGTCCACGAATGCTAGACACAGGGGCTGATAATATTCTTCGGTCTTCTGTATAATCTGCCGCACTGTGTGGATGTGGCCCATGGTGCCATATCCGCTCCGAAACCCAGCTTGCCTCGGTGGTTGGAATTCGTCGAGTCTTCGCGCAAGATGGTTCGTGATGACTCTCGAAGGGATATGGGTCGATAGTTTTTGGGGTTATTATTTGTGCGTCAATGTCCCTAATGTTTGCGTCTAATACTCAATCTAATGCGCCCGCCACGGTCGGTGTCTTCTTTAGTTTTCCTGATTATTACTCGTATCATTTGTTTGTAATGTTGAGCACGGTGGTTCGTATTTACGCGCGTCATTGACGTAGCGGTAGGGCGCTCTTGAGTGACTTTCAAAGCGCGAGCGGTGCAGTGGACGATGTGGCAGGTTGTGTGTTGAATGATGCTTGTTCGACCTCAATTCGGCTATTTCTAGCAACAGTTTTTCGATTTGTTTTGTAAGTAGGTTAAATTGGGGGTTGCCTACTACAATATTCTTATTTTTGTTGTTTTCAAGCGGTGACACAATGGTAATTTTTGGTCTTTACTTAGTTTAATACCGCTCTATTGAAATGATAATAGCATCCTTTTGTCGATGCTTCAGGAAATTGCTTTTCTAATAAAGGCATAACTGCGGCTTCGAAATCAACTGGATTTTTGGATTTGGATTTCAGCTTGTGATACTTTTTTTTTAATAAAGTAAATCATATGTTCTTAGTTTTTTATTTATTAACAAAGCATACACCACCGGCGTTATTTTTGTTTCTTCTTGAGAACTACCTACATCAGCGTGTAATGAATAAAGATGTAAAAATGGACGTGGACATGTTTTAAACGTTCCATCAAAGAAAAAATGTTTCCTTCTGCTTATAATTTCCCTCGTCGCCTTAGATGAGAAAGCTATTATTCTATTGTTTTATAGCTTTAGTCAAAGAGTAGAAACTTTTGAAAAAGGGTAGGTACTTCTACATCAATTGCTCTAGAATATCTAGTTTTTTTAACACCAACTACCTTATTCCTTTTATTGTATAGGTCAGATTTCATATTTTTATACGACGGAAATTCAATTTTCACCTGTGAGATCTTCAATCTAAATATAATATCTTCAACTCGTCATGCCTTATACCAATGTCAATCACTGATCTACCTGCACGAATAATAACTGAGTTCTGTTGGTAACTAGTGTTAGCTTGAGGTCCTGCTATGGGTTGATTATATCGAACTGACCGTACCGAGAATTTAATTTAATCAATGAGGGCCGAGCTATCGACATTGCCATTGTCAATTTTCAAAAGTGTCACTACATCACACACAGCTCGTCTATTATTTAAGGGTAAAAAACTACGAGTATGCCTCCTACATCTTGTTTCATAACTTGGACTTGAATTGCAAGTATCTTAGATTTTTTTGTTTAAAGGTTTCTAAACGATCCATGTAAGTGGGTAAACGGGTTTCACACCACCGATGCATATTCTAGGGTACAACGCACAATACAGCCCCTTTATGGGCTTTGCATCACACACATCAACAGCCCCTTTATGGGCTTTACATCACACACATCAACAGCCTTTAGTTTATTCAAATCGCTCTGTAGCAGATCACAATCGGCGGGAATTTTGACGGCTATCTGTGAAGTATAGAAAGTTAGCATGTATGAAAATGAAATCAGTATAAACGGCATGCACTTCCGCCCCTGAGTCCATATTCGAAGTCACAAAGTCATTAAAAACTAATAAATTAGATACAGTAGAATTACATATTAAAAATCCGTGCTGTTCAGGTATAAAGAACGGAAAATGCAAAGTTTTGATATAGGCCTATATTTTTTTTGTGTTAGAACGGTCTCCGTTCTTATGGACAGGTATTACAAAGGCTGACTTCCAGATAGCTGGTACAATACCTTCCTTTATAGACCTAGAGAAAATAATGTACAATGGTAAACACAAGTTATTACTACGCCGTTTAATAACAAAATGAGGGGATATCATCAGGCCTAGCACCCTTTTTAAGATCGACAGTTTCCAACAGTCTTTTAATCTCATTTGGATTATACCTATAATTATTTATTAAAGTTGCGTTTGTAGGGAGATATTCACATTAGCTTTATGAAAGGATGATTGAAAGTAATCTGCGAACAGATTGGAGACAGATTCTGCAGTATTATTAATTAATTTTACATAGGCCCAAGACTGTCGAGGATTTTCTACTACCGAATCCTCAATTTTATTTATATACAACTGATAATATTCACTCTCAAACCTCATAGTCCGTTCCCTAAGCAATGAGTATAGTACGATTTAAACCAACCGGGCCGCGCCCAGCCAAAATTGACCTGTAGTTAACGGATACGGGTCATCGGGATTGCCACTAAAATCAGAGAGCGGCCGTGAATTCAGGCACGCCTCTATCTGAATGAGAACAGTTTAAAAAGGTTATTTTAGGACTAATTGTGGCCCGCCATGCAAATTGCGTTCATGAGCATCAGCTCCCAAAAGGTCTGTTAAATGTGACTTGTGAGAAAGTATAATTGGATGCTTCATCAATATGGGCTCTCTGTAACCTCCCGCCAACTCTCTTGATTTGATCCTAGTCAATATAGGGGTTTAGTTGGGCGAGTTTACTTCTTTGTCGATCTTGCCTGTCTTGGTTAAAGCATCTATGTCATTGGAAAAATATTCACATTGACACATTTTGATGCATACTAACAAACTTGCATTAATTTCAGCAAAAGTTAAACATAGGGATGAATTTGTCTGATTATTTTGTTTATAATTAGATTTTATACTGTAGTATGCAATCACTAACCTTCTTAAAGATAAAAGTTTTGTTATTATATTATTCCCTTCACTACCATTAATTACTATATTACATGATGTTACATTTATTTTCTTTTCCTCTACATTTGTTTGATTTATCCTACCCTTATTAAAATTTACTATTTCGTCTCTGAACCAGTTAGGTCCCCTTACCCACAAATCCTATGCATGATTTACACCTCGCGATGCGCAATCGGCGGGATTATCCTTTGATTGAAAATGCGACCATTGATTCCCGTCCATAACGGTAAGAATTTCATCAACTCTGTTGCCGACGAAGGTTTTCCAACGGCTAATGTGGCCTCCAAGTTAAGCGAGAACCACTGATGAATCAGTTCAGGCATGAATATACTTTCTTTCTATTCCTAAGGTGTCGGAAACTTCGCAGAGAAGTTTTGATAGCAGTACCGCGCCGCACAACTCCAAACGAGGTATTGAAACTTGTGTGAAGGAGGCCACCTTGGTTTTTGATGCCACAAGACTGACAAAAACACACAACAGTGCCGTGGGAATCTATGGACCGCGGATAGATCACTACTGCATATGCATATTAAAGACATCACAAAAGCCTTGCAGTTCAACATGCTGGTCATTTCTGCTTGTGTGAATCCACCTAGGTAGACGAAAAGCAACCAAACCATCGAGGGCGTTTCTATAGCTAAGCCAATCTGTCAGTAAGTGATCAGGTAGTTCATCGTCCCATTCGATAAACGAAAGCCACAAACGTTGTATAAACACCTTGGCTGTTATTATTACTGGGCCAATTAGCCAACCGAGGGGGTCGAACAAGCGGGCGATATCAGATGTCACTCTACGCTTTGTCACGGAAGTCTCTAGCGGAGAAAGGTAGTCAGTATTTTGAAATTCATCCGCATCTCTATTCCAAGTTAAGCCTAAAATTTTCATGATCTTATCAATTTTGAAATGTATTGTGTCATGAGTTATATTTGTTCCATTTAGTATTTTAGTTAATAGTTCGTCACTGCAGCTGGACCACTTCTGAAGCTGGAAGCCTCCGCGTGCCATTAACTTATCCATCTGATGATATATTTCTCTTCACCTTCTGCTACAGATTCACCTGAAAAGAAATCACGTACAAAAAAATCCCTAAGGCCAAGGTCCGCGACTAGAGGATAATCCTTCCTTGGCGGTGCGTACTTTAGTACAACTATCTCGTGACGAACACAAGCTAGTTGTACCAAAGTACGCACCGCCAATTAAGACGTAGATGTTGCAACTCAGATTCTGGGTTATCGCGCCGTAAAAACCGCTGGTAATCTACATCGTCTTCAGCTACCTTAACTTGACGGTACATTTTCACAACGTCTGCTACTAATGTAATGGGATGCCATCGCCATCTCATTATGATATGACGCAAATCCGGTTGTAAGGTAGGGCCAACCATTAATTCGTCATTCAACGATACACCGTTGCTACCCGAACAAGAGGCATCGAAGACGATCCTAATCTTAGTAGTACTTTAATCGTCGCGCACTACGGCGTGATGTGGTAGGTACTCGTAAATAAAATGCATCGTGCCTTAAAATTGCTTGAGGAACAACTTCGGCGTGTCCCTGGCGAACATACTCTTGAACAACTTCAGAGTACTGCTGTCTTAGCTCAGGATTGCTTGACAACTTTCTTTCAAGCATGTGGAACCGTTTACGACCTATATCCTCGGATCTCCCGTAAACGCAGCTAGGACGAATGGTTTTAAATGGCAACCTGACAATATGTCGTACCGTTCCATTTTTTTTGGTAATGTTGGAAAATAAGTCTTCACACCTTTGCTCTTTCTCGGTCAAGATGACCCTATGAACAGAAGACTCCGATTCCATCTCCCAAAATTTTCTTAATATCCCGTTTACGTCTATGCTTGCATTGTAACATACTGGTTGAGTCCTGCGTGATGTGTGGATCTCGCCAGACAAGATCCATCCTAACTTGGTCCTTTGGGCT